CGCACATCCATCGCAAGGCGTGGTAACCCAAACTGCGAGTACTCCCTCGGCCCTTTAATCCCAAGGTGTGGTAACCAAGCTCGTAAACCATACACGTCTTACCAATCGCCCTGTGTGGTAACCCCTCTTGTGATCAGTTGGTTTTGCCGATTGCGAATCGGCCTCGCATGAAGTTCCGATACTGCTGCACGACAGCGCCAAAGCCTCATGACTTAGCTCTTCCATGGCCCATTCTCCGAGAGAGGGGGCCGGCGGCAGGGGGCGAAGCCCTTACGGATAAATACACACAAATAAAACGATTCCCCATATTTTCCCATATCTTCTGGGTTTTTGCCTTCCCCCCCACTTCCCATATTTTGCCATATTTTCTGGGGAATGGTCGATGAATTGTGTCTGTGTGTTTCTTCCCCTCCTGAACAGGGCTGAACACATGAGGCACAAGCAGGTGTGATCCCAGCCCTGCTCATACTCGCCCCGTGGACGCACGACCTCTCCCCGTCGCACAGCGCATGGCGCTGTCAGATCGCACGTCGCGGCGTGTGCGAGCGCCGCGCAGCGAATAGCGCATGGCGCTGTCCGTTGCCCATGCCGCATCCCTTCTTCAGCTGCCTGTTGCTTGTAATCATGCGGACACGTGCGGCGTTTGTCTTGTTGTTGTTGTTGTGGTTGTGGTTGTTGTTGTTGTTGTTGGTGGTGTTGTTGTTGTTGTTGTTGTTGTTGTTGTTGTTGTTGTTGTTGTTGTTGTTGTTGTTGTTGTTGTTGTTGTTGTTGTTGTTGTTGTTGTTTTTCTGCAAGGCGCTGTACTGTCATAGCGCGCCGAGCGCCGTCCTGCAATGCGAACGCAGCGCAAGGCGCTGCTACTCCCAGGAATTATGTCTCCTCTCGTCCCTCCTCCACATGTTTCCACGCCCCCCCTATGGTCGCTCTCCAGCCAACGACCTGTCTCTCAAGAGTGACGCCGCACATGTGAAACATCTGACTCTGGCCCGAGGTTCTTTGGCGAAGCGTTCAAGAGCAGCGGATCCTTCAATGCTTGCCTTCGTATTGAGCGATCAGCTGTATACTCGCCACATGCTTAAAAGGGTCGGGTACGTCCCTGGGTAGTTCCTCTGATTTTATGTTTCTTGAAGTGCTGATTCGGGCATCATCCAAACCTGTAGAGCTTAGCGATGTTGCCGTCGGCGACGCCCGCGAGACTCACCACGACGAACAGGACCACAAAGAGGCCGAAGACGACGACGCAGATCACGTCCGTGCAGCGGCGGCTCTCGTACGGCTTCGGGAAGTCCAGCGGCGTGGACGCGGGGGTCGCCTCTCGGGGGGGCGAGCGGGAAGAGTGGGGTAATCATCGGAGCACCATGGCCCGAGGCATACGCGCGCGCGCGGAAGAGGAGGGGGGGGGGACGGTGGCAGGGTGCACGAGATTCGGGAGATCTCGTGGCCCCTGCCACGGTGTCCGCCCCCGCTGGTCCTCCTCCCCCCCTCGGATCGAACGAACGCAACAGCCATAGGCCAAACGCGCGTGGGCACGACGGTTGGCGACCGTGATGGCAACGCCAGGCGCGTCAGCTGGCGGACAGGAGGCGCCCAACGCGCGACGAGGCAGCGGCGACGCGCCACGTGCGCGCTGGGAGGACGCTGCCCCCTCGATGCCTTGTGGTCTTCGGGTCGTGCCTCCAGCTTCTGGCGGCCGCTCGGGACGATCGGGCGAAGAGAACCTGTGCACGTGCACCGATTCTGGCCAGGCCCATCCTGGGCCCAGGAAGGGCCTGGCCAGAACCCGTGCCTGCGCACAGCTCTCCTTCCTCTGGACGAGCCGGGCCCCCCCCCCCGATGCCTCGCCGAGGCTGGCCAGGAACACCCGACGAGCCCGCACGCTCCCGGGCGGGGCGAGCTTTCGGGCCCCTCTCGGCGGCATGTGGGGGCCCGGGGGTCGACGCGGTCCCCCGTGACCTCTTCCCCCTCCTGCCGCCGGGGCGCTGGCCCAAGGAACCCCCCCAAAATCCGGCACGGGGCCCCTCCCCTTCCACAGGCGAAGCTTCGACTCGACGTCCCACTCGCCATCGCTCGGACGTCCACTCCGTGTGCTTTTTCGGTTTCGTGCGTGGATTTTTCGCCAAATGATCAAGGATGCTCCTCGATGGTCCTCGCCGAAGGGAAAATGCACACGTCCGAGCGATGCCGAGCCCATGGAACGCCTCGGGAAAACCTGAGGCACGGTGTAAAACAGCCAAGGAGTACGGAGCCCCTCCCCAACGCCAAGGGATCCTTCTTCCGCGCCCCGACTGCAGCTCGGGTCTTCGGCGGCCGTCCGGGGCGACCTGGGCCACCCCAGCACGCCCTCGGCGAGGCGCAGGTGCTGGAGAGCACCCCGAGGCTGGAAAACCTCCAGGAACTAACGAAAACGCCCGAAAACTTTGCGCTTCGCTCTTAACCCAGAAATCAAATGTCTTGAATTTCTCAATACGCCGCACCCGGAAATCCGGACCTTTTGCTCAACCATTCTGTTGAGTTGGGTCCTCGTTTTGAGACAGCGCCTCGCGTCCCACCTCACCTTCCTCCTCCTCCTCCTCCGCCTCCCGCTCGTCCCTCCTCCCACCCTTACCTCTGCCCTCCACATGACCTCATAGTCCTTATCCATGATCGTCGTCATCATCATCGTCGTCATCACCGCGCCACCCATGTCGGCACACCCCTCACACGCTTCGTGGCCTCCTGAGGAGCCCCACCGAAGCCCCGGGTTCGCATGCGTCCGCGCCACCTATTTCGGCACATTCCTGATACGCTTCGTGGCCCCATAGGGAGCTCCACCGAAGGCCCATATGGCAGGGTTCGCATGCGTCCGCGCCACCAATTTCGGTACTTTTCGTGGCCTCATGTGGAGCTCCACCGAAGGCCCCAGTGGCAGGGTTCGCATGCGTCCGCGCCACCAATTTCGGTACACCTCTTACACGTTTCGTGGCCCCATGAGGGGGCTCCACCGAAGGCCCCAATGGCAGGGCTTGCATGCGTGCGCGCCACAAATTTCGGCACACCCCTGACACGTTTCGTGGCCCTACAGGGGGCTCCACCGAAGACGATACTCACAACTGCGGCACTCACGACTGCATAATGGTTGGGTCCTTCGCCAGGCTAATTTCCCCAGGGCCCACTGTTCATACCGAGTCGTTTTCCACCGTCCCGGGGCCTGGCATCCACGGGCCTAGCACGACAAAGAACCCATGGCTTTTCTCTTTCAAGGCGTTGGATCTCTGGGAGCGCTGCCCCTGAGATGTTCGGAGGTCTGCGAAGAGGAAGAGGAGGAGGGAGGGCTATGGGAGGAGGGAACGAGCGGGGACCAGGAGGAGGAGGAGAAGGAGGAGGAGGAGAAGGAGGAGGAGGTGGAGCAGGAGGAGGAGGAGGAGGAGGAGGAGGAGGAGGAGGAGGAGGTGGAGGAAAAGGAGCAGGAGGAGGAGGAGGAGGAGGAGGAAGTGGAGGAGAAGGGAGAACAACCGTTTGAACCGTTTGAACCGTTGTGTGACGGTTGTGGAGTTGTTGCGCCCCCCTCCCCTCTGGAGCTCTCTTGGGAGGGTCTGCGGCACGCCCCCTGGCCTCCAGCGGCCGTTCGGGACGACCCGGGCACCCCTCTGGGCATCGCTCGGACGTCCATTCCCTGTGTTTTTTTCGGTTTCGTGTGTGTGTGTGTGTGTGTGTGTGTGTGTGGTTTTTGTTTCGCCAAATGATCAAGGGATGCTCCTCGATGGTTCTCGCCGAAGGAAAAATGCACACGTCCGAGCGATGCCAAGCCCTTGAACGCTCTCGGCGAGGTGCAGCTGCTGGAGAGCCTGCCGAGGCTGGAAAACCGACGACAGCGGCCGCCCGTAAGCTCCGAACCTCGCTCCAAAACCTCCTGGCGTCGCCGGCAGTGGCAGCTGCATCGTCCTCCGATCTTCGCGTCCGAGTGCTGTCTAAGATCGAAGAGAAACCGCCCGAGGAGGAGGAGGAGGAGGAGGAGGAGGAGGAGGAGGAGGAGGAGGAGGAAGAGCAGGAGGAGGAGGAGGAGGAGGAGGAAGGAGGAGGAGGAGGAGGAGCAGGAGAGAAGAGGACGAGGAGGACGAGGACGAGGAGGAGGAGGAGGAGGAGGAGGAGGAGGAGGAGGAGGAGGAGGAGGAGGAGGAGGGGGGCGCCGGAGGTCTGGATTTTCGCGTCAGAGCTCTGCTCCCCGGCGGCCGTGCGGGACGATCCTGGCGCCCCCGGAGAGAAGGCTCCCGACGAGGCGCAGCTGCTGGAGGGCAGGGGCACGCCGAGGCTGGGAAACCGCCGAGAGCCGAGGACAACGCCCGGAACCTTCGAACACCGGACATGTAGGCTACACGCAAGAGTGACCCCGGGTAAGAGTGACCTTTGGTGCGCGGCTTGTTGGAGGCCGCGGGGGGACCAAACACAAGCGCGCAAGACGCAACTGTCGCATCGCGCTCGGCGGTCGGGGGACCCCAGTGGGCCCGCACCAGGGGCCACTCCGGTGAAGGGTCACTCTCACGTGCAGTCGAGACCATTCTGTAGGCGCTACGAGCTTGCGGCAGTCACACACCCGTGCTGGCGGGCATGTTGTGTGGCCCCTCTCGAGCCCTCGGGGGGAGCCCTCCGGGGCGGGTGTGACCCCGTGCTGGCCCCGCGAACCAGCGGGGCCATGTGACCCCGTGTGGGCCAGGACCGCCGCTCCAATGCACAGCCCTTGGGAAGCGAGCGAACTCGACGCAACCCGTTCATGGAAATCGAGACTGACGACGCCGACGCCGACGCCGACGCCGGCGACGGCGACGGCGACGCCGACGATGAGAGCTTCCAAAGACTTCCGCCTCGAATTTCGGGGCGCTGGGAGCTCCAGAAACTTCGCTCAAGCGTCGCCCCCGAGAGGTCGAAGACTGGCTGGAGCCCCGCCTGCAGCTGGCGGCTGCTGAGATGCTTAGACGACGACGCCGACGACGCCGACGCCGATGATCTGGGTTCCTAACGTTGTCCCTGGCGCCCCCGAGCCTCGGACTCCCCGAGGTCGCCCGACATCGGGGCCCGGCGCGACTCCTGTCGCCGCGGCGTCGCCGTAGAGGTCGTCGTCGTCGTCGTCGTCGCCGCCGCCGCTGCCGCCGCCGCTCGGCGTCGGCGTCGTCGGCGTCGGCGTCGGCATCGTCGTCGTCGTCGTCGGCGGCGGCGTCGTCGTCGTCGTTGTCGTCGTCGTCGTCGAGGACGTCTTCGCTCGCGCGGCGCGCCCAGGCTCGGAGAGGTGCGAGGGCGGGTGCTGGCGGGAGGAGTGCGGCGAAGCGGAGGCGGCGGAAGCAGCAGCCAGCAGGAGGCCACTGGCGGAGCGCGGCGAGGCGGAGGCGGTGGCGCCCTCCGCGCCTGCGGAGGCGGCGGAGGAGCGCCGCCTGCGGAGGCGGCTGAGGAGGCCGCGGGGGCGACCGTGCAGGAGCTCGGAGAGCCGTTGGAGGAGTGCGGCTCCGCCTCAGGGCGGGGCTCCCGCAGCGAGGGGCAGGCCGAGCGGGTGTGAGCCTCGGCCTGGGACGAGGGGTGCGTTCGTGGTCGTCGTCGTCGTCGTCGTTCGGCGGAAGTGTGTGCCCGCTTGAGCGCGCCGCGTCCGCCGCCGACGGATTCCTCGGCATTACGTTGGACCGTTGGACCGTGATCGGCACCGTCGTCGTCGTCGTCCTCGCCGTCGTCGTCGTTGTCGTCGTCGTCGTCGTCAGCGGCCTCGTCGTCGTCGAAGTCGTCTTCCCCGTCGTCATCGTCGGCGTCGTCGTCGTCGTCAGCGGCCTCGTCGTCGTCGAAGTCGTCTTCCCCATCGTCATCGTCGTCGCCGTCTTCGTCGTCGTCTTAGCCGTTGTCGTCGCCGTTGTAGTCGCCATCGCCGCCACCGTTATCGTCGTCGTCGTCATCGGAGTCGTCACCGTCAACGGAGTCGGCGTCGGCGACGTAGGCGTTGTAGTCGTCGTCGTCGTCGTCGTCGCCGTCGTCGTTGTCGTCGTCGTCGTCGTCGTCGTCGTCGTCGTCGTCGTCGTCGCCATCATCGTCATCGCCGTTGTCGTGCACATCGTCGTCGTCGTCGCCGTCGTCGTCGTCGTCGTGCTCGTCGTCGTCGTCGAGGTCATCTTCTTCGTCGTCGTCAGCGTCATCGTTACCGCCACCATCCACGCCGTCGTCGTCGTCGTTGTCGTCGTCGTGATCGGCGTCGCCGTCGCCGATGTCATCGTCGTCGTCGGCAGCGGCGGCGTCGGCGTCGGTGTCAGCGGCGTCGTCGTCCTCGTCGTCGTCCACGTCGTCGTCGGCGCCGTCGCCGTCACCGTCGCCGTCGTCGTCGTCGTCGTCGTCGTCGTCGTCGTCGTCGTCGTCGTCGTCGTCGTCGTCGTCGTCGTCTTCGTCGTCTTCGCCGTCGTCAACGCCGCCACCATCCACGCCGTCGTCGCCGTCGTCGTCGTCGTCGACGTCGTCGATGTCACCGTCGTCGTCGTCGAGGTCATCTTCGTGGTCGTCATCGTCGTTGTCGTCGTCGTCGTCTTCGCCGTCGTCGTCGCCGCCACCATCCACGAAGTCACCGTCGTCGTCGTCGTCGTCGTCGCCGTCGCCGTCGTCGTCGTCGTCGTCCTCGTCGTCGTCACCGTCGACGGCGGCGTCGCCGACGCCGCCACCATCGTCGTCGTCGTGTTCGTCGTCGTCTTCGCCGTTGTCGTCGTCGCCACCGTCGACGTCGCCGCCACCATCGACGTCGTCGTCGTCGTCGTCATCGTCGTCGTCACCGTCGACGGCGTCGGCATCGGCGTCGGCGGCAAAGGCATTGGCGTCGTCGTCGTCGTCGTCGTCGTCGTCGTCGTCTTCGACGTCGTCGGCGCCGTCGCCATCGTCGTCGTGGTCGTCGAGGCGGTCTTCGTCGTCGTCGTCGTCCTCGTCGTCGTCTTCGCCGTGGTCGTCGCCGCCGCCGCCGGCGTCGGCGGCGGCGTCGGCGGCGTCGGCGTCACCGTCGTCGTCTTCGTCGTCGTCGTCGGTCGTCAGCGGCCTCGTCGTCGGCGTCGGCGTCGACGTCGGCGCCGTCATCGTCGAGGTTGTCATCGTCGTCGTCACCGTCGCCGGCGGCCTCGTCAGCGGCCTCGTCGTCGTCGTTGTCGTCTTCGCCGTCGTCATCGTTGCCGTCGCCGCCGCCGTCGCTGTCGCCGCCACCATCGACGTCGTCGTCGTCATCGTCGTCGTCACCGTCGACGGCGTCGACGTCGGCGTCGGCGGCGCAGGCGTAGGCGTCTTCGTCGGCGTCGTCGTTGTCGTCGTCGCCGTCGGCGCCGTCTTCGTCGGCGTCGTCGTCGTCGTCGTCGCCGTCGGCGTCGGCGTCGGCATTGTCGTCGTCGTCGTCAGCGGCCTCGTCGTCGGGGTCAGCGGCCTCGTCGTCGTCGCCGTCGTCGTGGGCGCCGTCGCCGTCGTCGTCGTCGCCGTCGTCGTCACCGTTGTCGTCGCTGTCGTCGTCGTCGTCCACGGCGCCGTGGCCGTCGCCGTCGCCGCCGCCGAAGTCGTTGTCGTCGTCGTCGTCGTCGTCGTCGTCGTCGTCGCCGTCGCTGTCTTCGTCGTCGTCGTCGTCACCGTCGTCACCGCCACCGCCGTTGTCATCGTCGTCGTCGTCTTTGTCCTCGTCCTCGTCGTCGTCGTCGTTGTCGTCGTCAAGGGCGTCGCCGTCGTCGTCGTCGCCGTCGCCGTCGTCGGCGTCGTCGTCGTCGTCACCACCAGCGGCAGAGGAGGCGGCGGCGTGGGCGTCGTCGCCGCCGCCGCCGCTGGTGTCGTCGTCGTCGTCGTCGTGGTCGTCGTCGCCGCCACCGTCGCCGTCGCCGTCGCCGTCGCCATCGCCGTCGTCGGCGCCGTCGGCGGCGACCTGTCCCGCGTCGGCGTCGTCGTCGTCGTCGTAGACGTCGTCGTCGTCGTCGTCGTCGTCGTCGTCGTCGTCGTCCCCGCCGCGGTCGCCGTCGCCGTCGCCGTCGCCGTCGCCAGTGTCGTCGTCGTCGTCGTCGTCGTCGTCGTCGTCGTCTTCGTCGTGGTCGTCGCCGCCGCCGTCGTCGCCCCCGTCGTCGCCGTCACTGTCGTCGTCGTCGTCGTCGTCGTCCCCGCCGCGGTCGCCGGCGCCGTCGCCGTCGCCGTCGTCGGCGGCGTCGTCGTCGTAGTCGCAATCGCCGCCGCCGCCGTCTTCGCCGTCGACGTCACAGTTGCCGTCGCGGTCGCCGTTGTCGTCGCCGTCGCCGCTGTTGTCGTCGTCGTCGTCGTTGTCAGCGGCGACGTCGTCGTGTGCGTCGCCTTCACCGCCGCGGCCGCCATCGTCGCCGTCGCCGCTGCCGTCGCCGTCGCCGGAGTCGTCGTCGTCATCGTCGTCGTCGTCGCCGTCGCCGTCGCACTCGCCGTCGTCGCCACCGCCGCCGCCGCCACCGTCGTCGACGTCGTCGTCGTCGTCGTCAACGTCGTCGTCGTCTTCGTCGTCGTCGTCATCGCCGTCGCCGTCGCCGTCGTCGTCGCCGTCGTCGCCGCCGTCGCCGCCGTCACCGTCAGCGTCGCCGTCGTCGTTGTCGTTGTCGCCGTCGTCGCCGTTGTCGTCGTCGTCGTCGTCGGTGGCGCCTCCACGGCGGCGGCGGAGGAGGCGGCGGCGTGGGCGTCGTCGCCGCCGCCGCCGCTGTCGTCGTCGCCGTCGCCGTAGTTGTCGCTGTCGCTACTGTCGTCGTCGTCGTCAGCGGTTGGGCGCCGTCGCCGCTGCCGTTGTCAGCTGTCGCTGGGCGTCGTCGCCGTTGCCGTCGCCGCCGCCGCCGCAGTCGCCGTCGGCGCCGTCGGCGCCGTCGTCGTCGTCGTCGTCGTCGTCGCCGTCGTCGTCGTTGCCGCCGTCGTCGTCGTCGTCGTCGTCGTCGTCGTCGTCGTCGTCGTCGTCGTGTTCATCGTCGTCGTCGTCCTCGTCGCCGTCGTCGTCGTCGTCGTCGTCTCGTCGTCGTCGTCGTCGTCATCCTCGTCGTCGTCGTCAGCGGCGTCGTTGTCGTGGGAGTCGCCGCCGCCGCCGCTGTCGTCGCCGTCGCCGTCGCAGTCGCCGTCGCCGGCGCCGTCGCCGTCGTCGTCTCGTCGTTGTCGCCGTCGTCATTGTCGTTGTCGCCGTCGTCGTCGTCTTCGACCTCGTTGTCATCGTCGTCGTCAACGGCGTCGCCGTCGTCGTCGCCGTCGTCGTCGTCGTCGTCGTGGTCGTCGTCGTCGTCGTCATCGTCGTCGTCGGCGTCGCTGTCGCTGTCGTCTACGTCGTCGTCGTCAACGTCGTCGTCGTCGTCGTCGGCGTCGCAGTCAGCAGACTCGTCGCCGTCTCTGCCGCGGTCGCCGCCGTCGTCGTCGCCGTCGCCGTCGCCGTCGTCGTCGTCGTCGTCGTCGCCGTCGTCGTGGGCGCGGTCGCCGTCGTCGTCGTCGTCGCCGTCGTCGTCGCTGTCGCCGTCCCCCGTCGCAGTCGTCGTCGTCGTCGCCGCCACCGCCGTCGTCGTCGTCGTCGTCGTCGTCGTCGTTGTTGTCGTCGTCGTCATCGCCGGCGCCGTCGCCGTCACCGTCGTCGTCGCTGTCGCCGTCCCCCGTCGCAGTCGTCGTCGTCGTCGCCGCCACCGCCGTCGTCGTCGTCGTCGTCGTCGTCGTTGTTGTCGTCGTCGTCATCGCCGGCGCCGTCGCCGTCACCGTCGTCGTCGCTGTCGCCGTCCCCCGTCGCAGTCGTCGTCGTCGTCGCCGCCACCGCCGTCGTCGTCGTCGTCGTCGTCGTCGTCGTCGTCGTCGTCGTCGTCGTCGTCGTCGCTTCGTCATCGTCGTCGTCGTCGTCGCCGCCGCCGCTGTCGTCGTCGTCGTCGCCGCCGCCGTCGCCATCGCCGCCGCCGTCGCCATCGCCGTTGTCGTCGCCGTCGGCGGTTCCCTGTCCCGCGCGCCGAGGGGTGGCCTTCCCCGGGCCGCGCGCGGCGCGGGGGGCCCCAGGCCCTTCCTCGGGCCAGCGGCTGTGGGGGGAGGAGGAGAAAAAAAGTAAGAAGAAGGAAGAGGAGAAGAAGGAGCAGGAGGAGGAGGAGGAGGAGGAGGAGGAGGAAGGGGAGGAGGAGGAGGAGGAGGAGGAGGAGGAGGAGGAAGAGGAGGAGGAGGAAGAAGAGGTGAAGGAGGAGGAGGAGGTGGAGGAGGAGGAGGGGGGAGGGAAGGAGGAGGAGGAGGACGAGGAGGAGGAGGAGCAGGAGGAGGAAGAGGACGAGGAGGAGGAGGAGGAGGAGGAAAAGGAGGAGGAAGAGGAGGAGGAGGCAAGGGAGGAGGAGGAGGAGGAAGAGGAGTTTTCATCAGGCGCGGCGCCAAGCGTGCAAGCACAGCTAGGCGGCTCGGGCGCAAGCCCGACCGTGGGGAAAGGAGCCCGAGCACCTCCCCGAAGGCCAAAAGGGGAGCGCCAGCAGGCGTAGCCAGGGGCCTACACACCGTCCGCATCCTCGCCCACGACAGCCAAGTCTCCGACCAGGTTGTCGAAGACGTGGTCCGCGAACGGCCGTGGCCTAACCTGGCCGCTGGCCAAGGGCAGGGGCAGACCAGTGCGCGGGTGTCTGCCCTCCCACAGGCTGCCCAGGCGGGGCCGCGCCTGCGGGGGGGCCGCCCCGAGGCAGGGCTGCGCGAGGAGCATAGCGTCCTCGCCCGAGCGTGCTCCGCACCTCGCGCAGAAGAGAAAAAAAGGCCCCCGCGCCACGCGCGGTGGCCGCCGCCGGGGCTGCGCGCCGCAGGCGTGTAGCCATCGCGCGTCCTGGCGACGCGGAGGCAACGGCAGCAGCGGGAGCCCTTGCCACGCGGCACTGGTTCATGCGTACCAGCGGGCAGCACCGCGTCTGCCGTCGGCACGGGGACGAGTTCCCTGCGCCGCGCACATCGCAGGTGGCCTTTGCCGCGGCGCATCCTGCTGGCTGGGGTCCGCTGATCGCAGCACCCGAGCCAAAAACCTGGTGACGAGGGCCACCAGGTGAAAGGCGCGCCGAACCCACGCCACCGCAGCACTGTCTGCGGGGTGGAGGGGCGCTCCTTCTCGAGCGCCGAGGTCCGCATAGTGGTTCCCCCAGCGCTTGATCAGGCCCCGCTCGACGTCGTCGCAACGTCGAGCGTGACCCTTGACCTTCACAATCGTGACGTCGCCTCCTGGGTCGTCCACGCGATCCCAGATGCGAGCCCAGAGGTCGGCTGCCTCGCACTGGGCTCCAGTGGTCTCGGCGCGTCCGCGCTCGAAGCTGGAGACCACCCAGGCGCAGTCCAAGTGGAAGCAGTAGGGCTCCAAGGCCACGTGCGTCAGATACATGCGGAGGGCGAAGGCCTCAGCGAGGTCCGACGCCCGGTGCGGCCCTGGGAGCGGGCCGCGCAAGGAGGCGGTCAGGCCTCCTTGCCCGCCCACCTGGACCACAGACCAGCCCGCTCCACGGAGTCGGGGGCCTCCCTGTGCAGGCGAGGTGCAGGAGCCGTCGCCGAAGGCCCCCGCCTGCGAGGCTACCAGCAGAACTGGGCCCCTGGAGCACCGGGCGAGGAGGGAGGGCGCGGGGCCAGGGGCAGAGGGGGCGAGGATCGGGAACCAGGGCGTGCCTCCAGAGGGCCCAGGGCGAGTGCGCCCCGAGGTCCTGCCGCAGAGGGGGAGGGAGGTCGTGCTCGCGTGCAGAGGCCCGCGTCGCCGAGCGCTGGCCCGTCGCCCAGGCTTCGAGGGTCCCTGGGCGGGATTCGATGCTGCACGACGGGCGCGTGCGACTGCTCGAGAGGCCGCGGCGAAACTTGCGAGCCTGACCCCAAATACCAGTCGAGACGATCGCACGGAGAGTCGCCTGATGCCGAGCCGCCCACTCGGGGCCAGTCCTACCGTTGCAGAGGCGGCGGAGGGGGTCGAGGCAGGGGCGGGCAGGGAGACCAGACATGTACATACTCCGAACTCTGCTGGGCTCGATCGAGCAGTCAGTCCTCGGTGCTCAAGCTCGCGAGATGCGAGACAGATCTCGGACAGGTCGCGGTGAGATCAGCCTTGAAGCCCTCGCTGGCCTCTAAAGTGCAAGCCCCTGGGCCAAGCTTCCAATCGATGCGCCTACAGCCAGCTACGGCCGCCGAAACCGGGCCACGAGCTAGGGCCCGGTCGCTTTTGACACCGGCGGGCCGAGCCAGGGCGGGCCTCAGCGGCAGAGAAAACTCGGGCAGTCCATTCCCGAGACAGCCATGACTCCCCTAGACGGCTTGGGCGAGCAAATAGATCGGACACACAGTACAAGCGCACGCAGGGTCGACCGACCTCGGCGCCGAGGGAGCGAGGTGGAGGTCGAGGGTGAAGGAGCGGCGAGCGGCCCAAACGAAAAGGGCGGCATGCGCAGCTCGACGCATCGGCTCGATCCCACTCCAGGCCCTCCCAGTCACCCCGTCCCCCCAGGTACCAGCAGGCGTGAGACCAATAGAGACCAGCTGCTGTTGATGAGGACGATGATGCTGCTGTTGATAATGATGATGTTGATGCTGATGGTGACGACGACGATGACGATGCTGCTGATGATGACGATGTTGGTGATGATAATGATGATGCTGCTGCCGATGATGATGATGATGATGATGATGATGATGATGATGATGATGATGATGATGATGATGATGATGCTGATGATGATGATGATGATGATGTTGATGATGATGCTGCTGCTGATGCTGATGCTGATGCTGATGATGATGATCTGATGATGATAATGCTGATGCTGATGTTGATGATGATGATGATGAGGATGAGGTTGATGATGATGATGATGATGAGGATGAGGATGAGGATGAGGATGAGGATGAGGATGAGGATGAGGATGAGGATGAGGATGAGGATGAGGATGAGATGATGATGATGATGATGATGATGATGATGATGATGATGATGATGATGATGATGATGATGATGATGATGATGATGATGATGATGATGATGATGATGATGATGATGATGATGATGATGATGATGACCGGCCCCGGTCAGGAAGCGGTCAGTGCGCCGAGCCCCTGCGCGGCCTGGCCCCCGGCGGGCCGATGCGGCCCCACGGGGGCGCGCCGCGCGCGCGGCCGCCCGCGAGGGCGGCCCCAGAAGGCGCAGGGCCTCGTCTGGCGGCCAGGCGCGCCGCCGCACCCGCGGGCACTGCAGTGCATCGCAGTGTGAAGCAGTGCGACGCAGGAGGAGGAGGAGGAGGAGGAGGAGGAGGAGGAGGAGGAGGAGGAGGAGGAGGAGGAGGAGGAGGAGGAGGAGGAGGAGGAGGAGGACGGAGGAGGGGAGGAGGGGAGGAGGAGGAGGAGGAGGAGGAGGAGGAGGAGGAGGACGGAGGAGGAGGAGGAGGAGGAGGAGGACGAGGAGGAGGACGAGGAGGAGGAGGAGGACGGAGGAGCAGGAGGAGGAGGAGGAGGAGCAGGAGGAGGAGGAGCAGCGCGGCGCAACGCTGGAGGGGGGCACCGCGGGCGAGTGCCACTCTGGGCGAGTGCTGCCGTGGCGACGGGGGCCAGCGACTGCCGTGCTGGAGGCCAGGGCCTTCCGTCCGACGGGCTTCGTGCCCCGGCTCTCCCCTGTGGCACCGTGCGGCGCAGCCGGCCGTGGCAGCAGGGGTCGGCGAGGGAGGGCGTGGAGGGGGACGGAGGACGACGAGGAGGCGGGAGAGCGCGAGAAGCAGGGGGAGAGGATGCCAACAAGGAGATGCCGCGCGTTGGCAAGAGTGCGTACAGTGCGGGTCCAGTGAGCAGTTATAGACCAGATGCATACCATATACATACTTGTACATGTACATGTATACACATGTGTGTGCATACATAGTTGCATACATATTCGTACCCGGAGGGGCGCCACAGTGGTCCTGACGGGCCCTGAAGGGCGCACGGGAATGGTCAACCAGTGCCTGTGTGTGTGCGTATGTATGAAGATTGCCTGTAACGCGTGGGGCCTCCCGCAGAGGGTCGTCTATGTCTGGACGGCCGAGAGTGCCCCTCCCAAAGCATGCTTTGGCTGGCGCAGACGCATCGGGCCTAATCCTACCAGCCCTCTGGGCGGAGGTGGCTTACGAGCGCTTCCTCTCCCACTCTCCCTTCTTCCCTTCGGGGAGAAGTCTGCCCCTCCCCCTCCTTCCCCCCCCCCCCCCTGGGCCTGGGTAAGGAGGGGCCGCGAGGTGTCAGAGGGTCCATTCTCGCCCAGGATGGCTCCAGGAGGGCCCCCCAGTGCTCCAGGGGCTTCCGCCATGCCTCCAGGAGGGCCCACGTCTATTTCCTGTGCATTTTTCGGTTTCGTGCGTGTTTGTTTTGCCCGATGGTCCAGGATGGTCCCCGATGGTTCTCGCCGAGAAAAAATGCACACGTCCGAGCGATGCCAAGAAGAAAACCGCAAGGCGGCTCCAAGTGCTCTCGGAGCCCCCCAGAGAAGCCCCCAAGAGGCCAACAAACATCCATCAAAAACCGACATCCGCCGACCCCTTGGGGTCACGGCGTGTGAGATGCTTCCCCCTCCCCAAACCCTTCCCCCGGGAGCCCGTTCCAGCCAGTTTGGAGGGGTGAGGGGGTGGAGAGCACATGCGTCAGCCGCGCCCTTGGAGCCTCAGGGGGCCCCACAACGGGCCAAGAGAGTCCCAAAAGGCCCCCCGGACGGTCCCAGGGGGCTGCGAGTCTCCGAGAGGTCGCTCCCAGACGCCCAAGATTGCCTCCAGACGGCCCCAGTCCCCTAAGACGCCCCAAGAGGCCACCAAGAGCCGTCCCAAGAGGCCCTCAAGAAGCGGAAGTCGTCCCATTCCCTAGGGGAAACGTATATTTTTAGAACATTCGCCTCTTGGGCGTTCACGAGGCCCACAACGGCCCAAGAAGCCTTCGAAGATCGACCCAGACAGCCCAAGGGCCCCCAAAGAGGGCTCCAAGACGGCCTAAGAGGGCCCCAAGAGGGCCCCAGAAACCACCACAACGGCCCAGGAGAGCCCCAAGACGGCCCCAAAATGGGCCAAGAGGGTCCCAAAAGGC